TCATAATTGAAATTCTTAAAGGAACGTACTGTTTTAAATTGTGGGTATTGCTTTGGTACTGAACATTGAATATCACAGAATATCATTTCGTGATCAGTAATACCATGTACGGTAATAACACCTTTTTGCTTTACTATTTCTAGAGTTCAGTTATTATCTTAAAGGTCTTTTTTCATGTCTTCAGATATTGTAGTTATGATTTTTTAAGTTCAACTCTACATAACCATGGTTAGACATGTTTAATTAAAAATAATTAATCTTTAAAAAATCGTATCTTACGAATTGAGATATGGGCATGAACTTAAAAGATATTTAAAGCAAATTGAAATGATTTAATTTGATTACTACTCGACATAAACGTGATTATAAATGTTTGATTAAAATAATTCATCTTTAAAAATTCGTATTTCAAAAACTAATTGAGATATCGGCATGAAGTAAAATGAAATTTAAAGTAAATTTAATTGGTAATTATTACCATGAAAATAATTTTTTCAAAATTTCGAAGTTATGATTTTATAAATAAATTCTGTTAAGCTTCAAAATTTACTCTTGTATACAAACAAAAATACATCTGTTTTCTTAACTTATTATTTTTTCATTATCTCGTATGAATATTCAATGACTACCAGCATAATATATATTTGTGTTTCTATATAAAGGGAAATAGTAAACAAAATACATCAACAAAACAAAAGCAAAAAGTAAACATGTTTACGAAAGTGTTTATTACAATACTTTTATTATTTTATTTTTGCGATGTGATCGATAGCAAATACGTAAAAAATATTAAATTAAATAATAAAAGGAAAAAAATTTTTGAGTTGGATGGCAATCTCGACTATGAAGTTGTTCTTTTACCTATTTTTAATGAAAATAGTTTCGAATCCGAAGAAGTTTTATTTAAATTGGAGGTTTTTGGGCGGTAAGAATTTTTAAATTAATAATATTTTAGTGATTCATATAATTTTTTTATAATTTTAGTGTATTAAATTTAAAATTAGTAAAAAACAATTTAATTTCTCAAAATTTTAAATCTTACATTCAAGATGGAAACAATTCCTTTCCTTTACCACCTCTAAATAAATCTTGTTTATTAATGGGTAGCAAAAATGAAATTGCAGCTTCAATATTTTATTGTAAACCCAAATCTTTTGTAAGAATCGAAATAATACAATTAAATTTTTGAATAATTTTAAATTATTTTCAGAGTGGATTTATTTTTTTAGATGATATAACTTTAGAAATATCACCAATCTCAAGCGAATCTAACGAAATTTTAACCGAAACCAACCAAAATTCAAAAGATATACCCCATGTAATTCGCAAACATTCCCATTTTAACAAAAACAAATTATTTCAACAAAGCGCTTTAACAAACGAAATAACCGAAACCTTTACTTTAGAGGTATCGATATTTTTCGACGAATTTGCTTACAATATTTTCGCCCCTTATCTTTCTTACGACGACGCAAAAATTCGCGATATGTTATTAGCTTATCTAAATGGAGTTCAAGCCCTTTATCATCACCCCTCCCTTAAAGGTTATGTTGATATCGTTATCGTAAGACTTGATATTTTGAAAACGCAACCTGAAAATTTACCAATTTATAACGGTGAAAGTGGGTCACTTTTAAAATCGTTTTGTTCTTATCAAAAAGAATTAAACGTTAATGACGATTCCAATCCGAATCATTGGGATATGGGCTTGTATATTTCAGGATTGGATTTTTTCACTTACGATAATAAAGGTTATAAGGATTATGGGATTATGGGGTTATCTACGGTTGGTGGGGTTTGTTATGAAAAATTTTCTTGTGTGATAGCGGAATTTGGAAGTACAGACGCTTTTGGGAAACCTTATCCAACGGCTGGATTTGGGAGTGTTTATATTTTAGCGCATGAAATTGGGCACAAGTACGTAAATTTATTAGTGATATTTTGAAAAATAAAGTTATATTTTAGCTTAGGGATGCACCATGATGGTACGAAAAATACTTGTTTACCAAATGGGTTTATAATGTCAGCATCGCGGGGTACCTCTGGAGAAACTCAGTGGTCTTCTTGTAGCGCTGATGTGATGGAAAAATTAAAGTAATGCAATTTTTTTTATCTTCTTTTTTATTTATCTTCTTCTTCTTCTTGCTACAGGAGTAGTTCTGTCTCATTTTTCTTGTGATGGGGATGTCCAGCTTTTCTGCTAACGTTTGAACCGTCTTCCAATTCTACATAATTCATTCTTTGTCACGAGGTCGCTTGCAGTCTCGGTTAATGTAAAGTCCCTAGATTTACAAAGTACCGCGGTTTGACGCCATTTTGGCTCGAAAGTCAAGCGGGAAATTTAAAACTACAAACCAAAACATTACGCCAAATTTCCTTTCTTTTTTTCTCGTGGTACTCTGAAGAGTCGAAAGTCCTTCTTACTGCCATTTTTGCAACTCCAAAGGCAACAAGACGGCAATATTTTTGTAAATAAGTGGTGAGATGCAGTGACAAGCTGTCAAACCGCCATTTTGGCTCAAAACAGGCTTCATGAACCGCGGTACTTTGTAAATCTAGGGACTTTACTATATAATAAAGTCCCTAGATTTACAAAGTACCGCGGTTTGACGCCATTTTGGCTCGAAAGTCAAGCGGGAAATTTAAAACTACAAACCAAAACATTACGCCAAATTTCCTTTCTTTTTTTCTCGTGGTACTCTGAAGAGTCGAAAGTCCTTCTTACTGCCATTTTTGCAACTCCGAAGGCAACAAGACGGCAATATTTTTGTAAATAAGTGGTGAGATGCAGTGACAAGCTGTCAAACCGCCATTTTGGCTCAAAACAGGCTTCATGAACCGCGGTACTTTGTAAATCTAGGGACTTTACTATATAATAAAGTCCCTAGATTTACAAAGTACCGCGGTTTGACGCCATTTTGGCTCGAAAGTCAAGCGGGAAATTTAAAACTACAAACCAAAACATTACGCCAAATTTCCTTTCTTTTTTTCTCGTGGTACTCTGAAGAGTCGAAAGTCCTTCTTACTACCATTTTTGCAACTCCGAAGGCAACAAGACGGCAATATTTTTGTAAATAAGTGGTGAGATGCAGTGACAAGCTGTCAAACCGCCATTTTGGCTCAAAACAGGCTTCATGAACCGCGGTACTTTGTAAATCTAGGGACTTTACTATATAATAAAGTCCCTAGATTTACAAAGTACCGCGGTTTGACGCCATTTTGGCTCGAAAGTCAAGCGGGAAATTTAAAACTACAAACCAAAACATTACGCCAAATTTCCTTTCTTTTTTTCTCGTGGTACTCTGAAGAGCCAAAAGTCCTTCTTACTGCCATTTTTGCAACTCCAAAGGCAACAAGACGGCAATATTTTTGTAAATAAGTGATGAGATGCAGTGACAAGCTGTCAAACCGCCATTTCGGCTCAAAACAGGCTTCATGAACCGCGATACTTTGTAAATCTAGGGACTTTAGGTCAATGTATTGCTTAACTTTGTAATGGTGTGATTTCTGTTATGGCGGCTTGTCTTCGCTATTTATGTCCTTTCACATCAACCTCTTCATTGACTGGTTTCTTACTCCTTCTCAACGTATTTGAAATCTTTTGCAAGCCACAACTTAAATCGTGCTCCAACTCGGTTGAAAAATTTTTCCCAATGATCTTTTGAACTCTCTAATGTCATTTCCTATTCTACTTCTAATCTCTTTGAAACAAACGTACTGTTACTAAGTTCTATTGTTCAAGTATTTTATGTACGCCTATGTGTTCCACATTTTGCGTGTACGGCTTGTTATTCTTTGGTGTGTTTCAATTGTTTGGTGTATCAATGTGTCTTTAGCCTAGTTCTTCTTTGACGCTTTTAATAATATCCAAGCCATGTTGTGTTCTTGCATTTGCCGAAGTTAGTGTGGGCACGTACAGTTTCTGGACTATTAATAGGCAGTAAGTTAGGTTGTAGTGCACTATTAGTATTGACATAGTCAACAGCCGATTTCTCACCTCTCGTATTAACAAATATATATTTATGTTAATCTATCTTTACGTTTTCGCGCAATGTCTTCATCTTTAATCCGTTTATTATCCAAACCATTTCCTTTACCCAAGCTTGGAATCGGAAACGGTGTTTACTGGGCTACTCAATCGAAGGCGGAATTAATATCTTTTTTAATCATGTATCATTTTTTTTTATGCCAGAAAAAAGAAATGTCTTCAAGATGTTGGTTTAACTACATTTGATCATTCAAAATTTTTTGAAACACCCGGTAGATTATATTCCCCTAAAAAACAATGCGAATTATTTTTATCCAACGAAAAATCATACGCAGTTGAAGATCAAAGCGAAATTTGCCAAACATTAAAATGTACTCTTCCAGGTAAAGCGGAAATTTATTCTTCAGGACCACCATTAGATGGCACAAAGTGTGACGAAAATAAAGTAAGGAATTTAATCAGTTTAATATGGAAATAATTTTATTTATAATTACAGCAATGTTATGCTGGAGAATGCATAAAATCTACGAATAATTATCCTAATACAAGAACAAAAATTTGGAATATTAAAGAATGTGAATCGGGTTGTATAACAAATTCAATGGGGTATCAAATTAACAAAGGAGATTCGAGATTATGTGACGATGTAGATGTAATTTTGCAAACATACCCTGATTTCTCTTTACATTGACATCATTAATTTTAGATTTGCCCCAAAAGAATTTCTATTACAGATTACGCCTCGAAAAAATGTAAATATTTTTCTCGAATTTTAACGGAAATAGACTCAAAAGGCAATGGTTTGCAACGATCTCACAATTTAGGTTTAAATTATACAATTATCGCAAAAATAACTTTATTTACTATTCATTTTTTGTTAGATTCCCCATCGTTAGCTTGCACAATTTTCTGTCGAAACAAAAATGGTACTTTTAACATTCCAAAAATACAACTAAATAAAATGGAAAGTGTGCCTCATTTTCCAGATGGAACATGGTGTCATCGAGAAAATTCAATCGATTTTTATTGCATCAATAATATGTGTTTATCAGAAATAAATTTTAATCGAGACAATGAAAATGGATTGGATCAAAACGAAATAATTAGCGGAAAATTAAAGGAATCAATTCCATTTCTTAATCCAATCAAAAAATATTCTTATAACGAAGAATATCTTATAGATTATCTTTTATTACCAAATTAAATATAAAACTTTTTTTACTTTATGATTAGTTTAATTATCAATTATATTTAAGAGCTCCCACTTTCATAAAATAAACCTATTTAAAAATTCCATAAATTCCGACGTAATTATCAAACGGACCATAAACTTTCAATTAATTAAGAATAAATTTTGGACCGCTTACGCCACGAACTTCCTATAAAAACTCGGAGGAGTTCCATCACAATCACTTCGGCATCCACCTTCAAACATACAACATCCCCAAGATCCTCTTGGTAAAAAGGAAATAAATACAAACAATTAATATTAATTAATCATTGTTTTTCTTGCAGTAACCCACAATAATGGCAAGATTCTACGTCATTTTCGCTTGTTTAAGTAAGTATTCAACAAAAAAGAAAACAAATTGATTTTGTAATATATTTTTTATTGATATAGTCGCAATCAATTTTGCTGAAACAAGGCAAGCAGCTGTTAGTGACAGTCAATCGGCCGCTGGAGAACATTTCTCGTCTATTTCTATTTCTGACGGTGGATACGGAGGAGGATATGGGGGAAAAGACACTTACAGCGCTGGAAGTGGATTAAAAACAATCGCTCAAGGATCAGCCGATCAAGCCAACAACGCCGTAGCTAACCAACATGCAGCTGCAAGAAACGCCGCTTTTGCTGCAAAGAGTACTTTAGCCCAAGCAGCCGCCGGAGTAAGTTTAAAATAGTCTTAATCAATTTGAGTTTTAATTTCTTTTTTTAAAGGCTGCAGCAACAGCTCAAGCTGCCCTCATCGGAAAACACATTTTAGTTCAACATCTCGAACAAAACGTCGCCGAAGCTCACCAACAACTCGAAGCTGAACTTCGTCAATTGGAGCAAGCCCAAAGATCCGCTGAAGCTTCTCAAGCTGCTGCCGATCAAGCTCAAAATGGTGGAAACGCTATTAGTGCTGCTTTGAATGCCGCCCAAGGAACTTTAGCCCATGCCCAACAAGCTGCCGATGCCGCTCACGCCGAATTGGGGTCTCAAGAAGCTATGGTAGGACACGCCCAACAAAGGTACAACTCTCTCAGCCAACAACTCCAATCTGCTCAAGCTGATTTACACGTAACTCAATCTGCTGCCCAACAAGCCGAAGCTGCTGCACAAATTGCTCAATCCAACGCCGCCCAAGCAGCGGAAAAAGCTCAATCTGCTGGATTACAAGACCATGGAAGCTTTGAAGGTTATCATCATTAATATGAATTGTTGTTATAGAGTTTTTTAAATTATCAAAGATTTAAATAAAAAAATATTTATCAAAATCATTTTATAATTATACCTTTATATACAAATATTTTCAAGATATCTACCACATCCGATCTATGGGAAGTAGTCTAATATACAGGGTGTGTCACGAAACTGGTTCGTTAGAACTTTTTTAAGTTTCACTATTCGTACAGTTTTGAAATTTTGGTAGCATGGGTTGTTTATTAGGAACTTTCGATCTAAAAAATTTTCAAGATGGTTGCCAAAACCTTTATAAATTTTTTTAAATGTTTCCTTGTGATGGGCGTTAGGTTTATTAGGCATCTCTCATTAAGTGTTCGACACGTCCTGTCCAAAAGTTTATTACATTCGTCATCAATACAAAATAACTTTCAAATATCGGCGTTGAAATAATCTGCCATGATGTTGAATGGACCAAAACCTATCAAAATTTCATAGCTTTCTAATAAAAATACCTACATTTCGTGCATGTTTTTTAATAAATTTCGCAATATGAGGCAAACTACAATAAGTAGGTATAGGAATGTTTATAGATAATTTGTAGAGAAGTAAATTTTCTTTCTGCTAGGCTAAAAAAATATGGGGCGTTCCATTTAAAACTTTCGACTTTCTCGCCATTGAATATGGAGAAACAGTAATTCAATTTTTGACCACCTGTATAAGATACTAAAATACAACAAATGACAATCTATTTGACAGCATCTGAGGAGTAATCGTGCCAATGTAGATTTTTTTTGAATGAACATTGGCTGAGATATGAGGTTTTAAAGAGAATGTTGAAATTTACTTTAAAAAAAGGTTAAAAAAAAAAAAACTCGAAAACGAAAAACGCTAAGTACCAATAACTTTTATCAAAGTCAACCTATTTTTGTACGTACAATTAAAGGGTGTAATAAAAACTATGGCATTCCACTTAAAATAAAGAAGTTATGGTCTACTTCCGGTAGACCGGAAGTTATTAGAGTAAAACAAATACCTCTTTCATTACATTAATAAAAATACTCCACCTTTAGTATAACAAGTATGCCGTTGCAAATAGCTTGTTGGAACGTAAGGTCCAACGAAACGGAACGTAAGCACAAATTAAGACATTATTTGCGCTATCTACGAAACCAAGAAGAAAAGCAAGGGATCAACAGATTATGGAGGCAACTCATTCTACTCATGAATTAACATATCACTATTAAAATAGAAATGAGTGAAGAACAACAAGATTGAACTGTGACCCGATCCCAATGATGAGACCTGTTATGGCGTTCCCTTGAATTGATATCACGATAGGATGGATCTCCGGGCAGAAACAGCACCTCGAGGAGGTATTGTACCGTAGACGTGGTAGACGGAACGATTAACTGACCTCGCGAAAATCAGGTTTCTACCAAGGACGGTAGAATCTAAGAGGACTGTTACATCCCGGGAACAAGTGTACAGCTCGACGGCCCGTTCGTGATGTCATGCACGTCATGGGTAGGCAACTACTATTTCACACTTTGAATTAACAAATGCTTAACAACTAAAACTAGAGCTAACACTAGTACTAGAACTAACACCAGACCTAGAGCAAGAAACATCCGGGATTAGCTGTCTTAACAGACATATAGCTAAGCTCGAAATTTTCTACTTCTAGGTCTAATGTTCGGAAAGGTTTTTATTTTCTTGTTTTGTATACACATTTTACAAATATATAAATTGAAAGGTTAATTCATGAAATCTATTTGTGGTAAATGATAGTCATTCTAATACAAATTTATTTTAGAAGTACTAAATACAAGGTGTGTCAAATGTCTGGAATATAGCCATTAACTTCGCCATTTGTGGTTTCAAAGAAAAATGTTTTAAATAAAAATTTTTTTATTAATTGTGGCGCATTTTTTGGCGATACTTACTTGTTTACATTGCTCTTTGTTTCGTTGCTATGGCAACCAACATTGTTATTTTAAATGAGATGCATATGTTTTTTTGCACATTTTAATAGAGGATAAATCCCTCTACGCGATGAACATATCAAATCATATGGTTGTATTAGAAAAAAATCGAAAAAAAATGCGTTCTCTGAAAATATTAAATCAGCAAATTACAATCAAAGTAGGCCCCGAAATAACGCCGTTGACAGCTTTAAATGTCAAAAAATTGACAGTTTAAACAAATATGATGAAATTAAGGGGGGAAACCACATTAGAAGTCATCGAATTGGCATCGTACTTAGCCGCGGGCTTATTCAATGAAGGAAATTCATCCCTTCTGATGATCATGAACAAAGCAAGAATTGTAGTAGGCACGTAAAGCTTCAACTACGCTGAACAAATAGATAACCTACGCGTGAGTCGACAGAATCGACGTAGTTCATTGAAGTCGAAGAAGGTCGGGAAGCTCGAAAAGCGCTGCTGCAGGCGTAAAATGAACCATATGAGGAAGAAAAGGACTAATGTATGGTGCTGAAATCGCGGATTAATCGGTGACTATTTTATATTATTGTTAACTTTTCAAAATTTTTAGTTTTCGAGATTTTTTTTTCAAAAGCGTTTTTCTCAAAATGACTTTTTTAACATTTGCGGGAACTCTATCTCAAAAAGTAATGAACCAATCATTATGAAAATTGATAGTATGATTCTTTATGAAATTACGAAATATATGAACCAACTATTGAGATGATATCATGATTTGAAGAGAGTTTTTTTTTGCATAATTAGTAAAAAAAAAATGTGAAATTTTAAGTAAATTTTTTCAATACCTGCAAAATTTTTTATTTTTGTTACATTTACCTGCATTGAGGTTCATATTCTTAGAAAATAAGTTATTAATCTAAAATGAAAAGCTTTTTGATATCAGATGAAAATTGAAATGGCTACACGTCCCGCAATTGGAGAACTCTAGGTACGACGTCTAGCGGACATCCAGTGCATAAATTTGTTATCTTTCGATAAAATTATTCAAAAAAATTCACAAAAGTTGTTCGAAATATAAACAAAATAGTGTCAAAATTGTATTAAATTCTAATTAATTTTTCCCACCCAAAAAAAATCCTAAAAAATCAATGAAAATGAGCCTCCTAATGTGGTTTCCCCCCTTAAGCGAACGACAAAAAATCCAAATATTAATAATGTATGGGTACGGTGCAGGTGATAGAAAACGCACTCAAAGTGAAGTTTGTACACTGTTCAATAATGTTTACCAGGATACATAAATTACACAATCCAGAGTATCCAAAATATTAAAAAAAGTTCCAAAAAGTTGATGGCCGAAGACAGTTATCAATGACCATACATTATTAATTATTCATAATTGTTGAAACTGTAATTTTTTTGACATTTAAAGCTGTCTTCGGTGCCTACTTTGATTGTATTTGGCTAATTTAAGACTTTCAAAAAACGCATTTTTTCTTGATTTTTTCTTATACAACCATATGATTTGATATGTTCATCACATAGAGGGATTTATAATCTACCAAAGTATGCAAAAAAGATATAGGCATCCATTTAAAATAACAATGTTGGTTGCCATAGCAACGAAACAAAAAAGAATACAAACAAACAAATATCGCCAAAAGATGCGCCATGGTTAATAAAGAAACTTGTATTTGAAACATTTTTCTTTAAAACCACAAATGGCGAAGTTATTGGCTATATTCAAGACATTTGACACAACCTGTATAATACAGGGTCATCCACGACGACCGTCCATTAGAACTTTACGAGTGTGTAGAGGGGAGTACGGTTGTCTAGAACGTTTGGTCACTTTACTACGGCACGTTAACTTTTCGAAATTTGGAAATACCATAACTTCATTTTTTTAAATGGCACCCCCCATTATTTTATTACTTAGTCGTCTTCGGTGTCTCATTTTACATCTTTTATATCCCATATGTCCTATACCTAACATTTAAAGTTTGGGAGATAATTAGGGTTTTTTGAAAAATGCACACATATATCGATATTTAACCTAGTGTGCCATGAATACCTAGTGTGGCCTAATGTATAACCATATGAAGTGGCCTTTTGAAAATTTGCAGACTTCTGATGTTTGATGCCAGCTTTTTACTAAAATATTTTCAGGTTCCGGGTGCTTGCGGTTACCGGGAATTTTTATTCAATTTTAGGCCACTTGTATGTTGCAGCCGACACGTACGCGCAATTATTTGGTTGCACTCTCCATAAATTATTATCAAATTCAAATAATCCTCATTACTAAATTCCAAACGTGGCATTTCTTGAGAACAGATCACTACAAAAAGTGACTTAGTCATCACACCAACAGAAATAAACCATAGCTTTAGCAAATGTCAAACTGTTTACTATTTTCTTCCTGATCCTACATAACCACAACAACATTCCCAACACAACATTTGTTTTTTCCGGCGGTCAAAGTAGATGATTTATAAATTATAAAAAGTAACGTTGTAGTTGACATTTTTGATTGAAAAATGTTACAAAACTCAGGGTGTTCCATTTGAAATATGAAAATTGTCATTTCTTCCGGTGTAACCGCAAGCACCCGGAACCTGAAAATATTTTAGTAAAAAGCTGGCATCAAACATCACAAGTCTGCAAATTTTCAAACCTGCACTTCATTCGGTTATCCAATAGGTCGCACTAGGTATTCATAGTACACTAGGTTAAATAGCGATGTGTGTGCATTTTTCAAAAAACCCTAATTATTTCCCAAACTATAAATGTTAGGTATAGGACATATGGGATATAAAAGATGTAAAATGAGACACCGAAGACGACTAAGTAATAAAACAGGGGGGTGCCATTTCAAGAAATGAAATTATGGTACTTCCAAGTTTCGAAAAGGTAACGTGCCATAGTAAAGTGACCAAACGTTCTAGACAGCCATACTCGGCGCCAAAACATACTCCATCATGTTGCTTAAGCATATTCTGAATCAGTGGCGTAACTACGGGGTCGCAAAAGGACGCATCGCGTCGGGGACCGTCGATCCTGAGGGCCCTTGGGCCCTCAAACGATTTTGAAAAAATTTAAAGATTTTAATTAGAATTACAAAAACTGTTGTTAAAAGTATACATTAATAAAATTTTGTGTTTAAAACTTTTTTTGTTTAAAATTCCCAAGAACGGGTAAAAATCTTTTTTTTCACGGGATTTAGTTTATAAAGATACTAAATCTAAAAAAGGTTATAACGGTTATTGTTTACGTTATAGGGTGTGTGTATACGATATATCATCACCCACTTGAACGTTGCCAAACTATGGCAACGTCGGGGCGCGTAAAGTGGCAGCGGAGAAAAGAAACGTTAGGTCGCGTGCGAGAAGTGTTAGGCAAATGCAGTCCTTTTTAAGTTTAGTTTTATTTAGTGGTTTGAAATACACCTCAACAGTTATAACCTTTTTGACACTTATATTAGCTGTGAAACTACGTTATTTAGGTATTATAAAATCTTTAACACACTTGATGTTGACAGAGAAAAAAGAAATTCGTGATGAAGCTCAAAACATAAAAGATAGAATGGAAAAATTTGAGTTTATTTTTATGTGCGTCTTCTTGCATAAAATTCTAGCAGAAATTAATTTAGCTTCAAAAGTTCTACAAAAGAAAAATGTAGATTTAGATGAAGCCAAAACTGTTTTGAACCAAGCTTATAATAAAGTTTTAGAAAGTAGATCAAAATTTACTGAAATAAAAGGTGAGGCTGCAGAAATTGCAAGAACTTGGAATGTTCTCCTTGAGTTTCAAAAGAAACGACAGCCTAAAGTGAAACACCATTTTGATGAATTGGCGAAAAATTATCACTTTTTTTCAAGAGAAGATATGTTTAGAGTTGGAATATTTAATGTTGTCATACATACTATTTCACATCAACTACATGAAAGATTTAAAAGCATGGAAAAATTAAGAAATTATTTTGGATTTCTGGATCCACAAAGATTATCAACGTTAAAAGACAAAGATATTTTAAAAGAATGTGAAAAATTACAAAAGAAGTATTCAACGTTTTTAATTGAACAATTTTCATTGCAATTTATTCATGTTCATTCGCTTTTAAAAGACAAGTTAAAAGAATTGCAAAGAGTAAAAGATTTTGCTAACTTAGTAATGACCAAATATAATTGCTTAGAAACTGATATATCGGATGTATTTTCTGTTTTTATATTGTTCTTTACACTCCCTGTAACAGTTGCTTCTGTAGAAAGATCATTTAGCAAGTTAAAAATAATAAAGGACTCTAGAAGAAATAGTATGGGACAATCGCGGCTGAATGATCTTTCTATATTAGCAATTGAAAGCAGTGAGGCTAAGAAAATGGATTTAAAAAATTTAATAAGTATATTTGCAACGATGAAATCTAGAAGAAAACAACTTTTGTAATAATTTAGTTCTTAGTTTTTTGTTAGTAAATTTGAAAATAAATAAGTATTTTCAACTTAATTTGTGCTTTTTTTCTGTATACCATAATATGTATACATAGTATTACTACCTTTGCTATAAAGACAGGGGCCATTTACAAAATTTTACGCCTGGGCCCATATTTTCTAGTTACGCCACTGTTCTGAATCCTAAATTGATATCCCAAAAATCGAGTGTTGTCTGATTTTTTGAACAAATGTCTGCTGGAGCAGATTTTTCTAGAAAATTTCGAATAACTCGAAAACGGCCGAATCAAATTGCAAAAAGTAAAGTCATTCATAAACCTTGAAAACAGACAAATCCAAATATGTAAAAATATACAGGGGGTTCCATTTAAAAAAATAAAGTAGATGGCGACTTCCGGTATAACCGGAAGTGTTAGATATCTGAAAATATTTTAGTCGAAGAGAACGCAATTGATAATACTTAAATCTGAATTTTCAAATTTTTATTTTGGCCAGAACCCTGTAAAGTTCTAATGGACGGTGGTCATGGATGACCCTGTATAAATATGTCTACGATAAAACTTCTAATAACACACAGCAAACAAAATGAACACAACACCAGCTGACTGAACATGACACGTGGTGGTGTGACGTCATTTTCTGAATTACAAAAGAACAAAGGATGATGCGCATTGCTCTATTACCCAAAACATTGTGACAACTAACGATGATTGAGAAGCAAATTCCTCCAGCAACGTTCTCTAAAACGGTTCGGCTAAAAACACTATGGCGCGGCGCCTCAACTAGTTCCAGTCATGTGTTGTGTTACCGCGAATTGTGCATCGATTTAATTGTGCGTGAGAATTCTTGACACTTACGGTACCGCTCGATGGACCACCTTAAAAGACTCTTAAGTAGGTTTAGTCGTTAAGAAATACCAATTTTAAAATGTTTTAGGAATAGATTCGATAGTTAAGGAAATAAGAGTAGCAATAATGTTTCAAAGTTACGAGGTTCATAAAAAGGGAAAATTCCCCGTGAATGCTTTTTAGAGCGTTCCTATGTTCAGGCCATCTAATGGTCGCTTAAGATTTTGATAAGTAAAAGACGCGCGCCCTTCAGGTGCCACACGCTGTTATCCCCACTCAAGGGATGAATTCCAGGGTTCCGAAGCCCTATTTAACCTCTCTGACTTTATTCTAAAGTCAGTCGTCAGAATAAATTCTAAATCATCGTTACTCTGCTCATATTCCTACTAAATCAACGTATAAGAAACAAAGACAAGAAAAAAAAGCGAGAATCTCTAGTAATTAATTATAAGATTCTGTAGAGTTAGTAAAATAAAAAGAATTAGTCAAGACTTTGAGTTTTACTTCGAAAACCTACGAGGAATCCAACACATGCCAGCACGTCTCATTAAAAAAAGAAAGTTTCAATGTGGGACCTTGCACAATACGCATGTTACAGTTTTTTAAGACAGAACTTAGAATAAAGCAACTTTTTTTGAATATCATTTAAATTATTCTATTTCGATTTAATCCCAAAACAATCCCGAATCACACAAGAGTCCAATCAGGGCTTGAAACAAACTAAATAATTACATTAATCATTAAGAGGAAATAATAAAAAAAATACATAAAGTAATTAAAAATTTGTTGTAATACTTTTTTATAATTTATCCTTAAGAATTTACAACAACATTTTTATCATCTCTTTCAATTTTATCTTTTAAAGAATCGTCCATATTATCAACACCTACACTCTCTTCCACATCATCACGTTTTTCGTCTGAATTCTCATCATCTTCTTCATTATCTCCTCTTTGATCATCATCCGTTAGATCAAAAGAATGAGTAGATAACTTCTCTAACCAACTTATCATATTATTTTCATTAATTTCCGTATTAATAATAGTTGGATAAATATATTTTTCTTTAAATTGATCAACGGTTTCATCTAATTCTTTCCATTCTAAAGTTTCGTGCATGCCATCTTCACCGTAACGCGCGTTGTAACGATCGTAATGGACAAAATCTAACACTAAACCCAAACCGGGTGCTCTAGGAATATTAATTTTTTCCTTAGAAAATGCTCTTGTGAAAGATTCTTCGGTTGTGTAACCACGGATAACGGCGATTGTTAAACCAATCATTTTACGTATTTGATGTAAAATAAAACTTTGTCCCTTTACTTTTAAAACGGCGAATTCTATGTCGTTTCTTATAATGGGTTCTTCACAAATGAAAGATAATATGTATCTGTTACAACTGGGATCGTTTGAGAGTCTTTTTGAAGTAAAATTATGATAATTTTTCGTTCCGATATATTTTTGTAATAACTCGTTAACTTTTTCAAAAGTTGATTTACTTAATCGAAAATCTTTAAGAGAAGTTTCTTCTTTATCAGAAAATGTTATTGTGGGTAACATATAAAAATATGTTCTTGCATCACAACTTGATTTACTATTAAAACCTTTTGTAACCCTTTTATAACCAAAAATACGAATAACTTCTGGTAAATTATCGTTAATTTTTTCTATGTCAAGCATTTCAGCTAAAAAATATTATAAAATTAATATATGTATTACACACAATAAAAAACTTGTGTTACGTAATTTTATTGAAACTACTTGTCGAGCTGCAGAAACACCTTTGTCCGTTCGAGCGGCTCTTTGAAATTGTACGGTTTGTGGATGTTTAAAAGCTTCTTCATTTATATGTTTGCTATCTAAAAGTGCTTTAAATAAATCTTCTTCGATTGTTTTTGTAAATACATTACTATAGTATAAAAAAGTTTATTAATAATTTTAAATTGATATTAAGATAAAACTTACCGTTGCATTCCAAAATAATTAGACCCAGAATATCCTAATAAAATAGCATACTTTCTTTTTTTAACTCTATCCTCGGTTTTTTCCCTTTTAACATCAAATGCTTCACCTTGATCCGTTCGTCTTTCTTCCCATTTCCTTTTCTTACTTCTACCATCATACCTGGGTTTTCTTATGGGTATTTTTTCACTCATCGTACAAAATCCGGCTGAAACTGCAAAAAGGTGGTAATTTTATTTTTTATTTGAAAACGTTTAAACGCACTTGTTTTAATTGAATCGTAAATTTTTAAACTGCATCGGCGAAACATTATTAATTTTCGGGCTTTATTCTCTTAAAATTTAAAAAGAATATTATAAATACCTTTTGAAACACGTTTATTTGAGGTTATGGGTACAGTTTAAGGTTATGTTTGTTTTCAACTTTGACAGATCTAGGGAAATTTAATGGAAATGATAATTTTTATTAATTCCCCTAGATTCAATAAATTATCTTAATGAAAATTAATTAAATAATTTATATTAAAAATTACTAATTTTTTACTAATTGAATAAGAAATATAACCGCAAAAGAGAAACTAAATAAAATAGAATAGGTTAATTTCGAACTTGCCACCAGAAAGTATTAAAACTTTTTAAAAAATATTGCAGCCATATTTTTAAACGAAACACGATTTATATGTTAATCTAAAGCTAAAAGTTAATATTTTATGATAGGATTAAAAGAATTTGGGGATTGGTAACTAAATTTCTAGAAAAAAATAAGTAATAAAAATTCTTCAACTCATATTCAATAATTACTTTGAAGATTTTGTTAGATTTACACCCTTTTTAGTACAATTCATAAAGATCTCATCATTTCAAGTGCATTTTTAAAAATCTTATTAGCATATTTTATTGTATATTATGTGTAAAATGTGCTTTTAAGATGAGCAATGCTTTGAGGTGTTAATTTTATATAACGTATAAAGGATAAAGAAAACATTGAAAGACCAAACCAACCTTTGTTACCAGAAATAGAGCAGAGGTACTTGAGATTACGTTCAGCTCAATCATATTAAGCTCCTGGAGAAAACCTCCTGGAGGGATCAGATTGAAATAGCCACGGAGCAGATCTCTATGGCACTTCGGTCAGCCTACCATAGTAGCAATCCACTGAAGGTGAAAAGTAATAACCAGAGCACACCCTGGTGGAACGAGTCTCTTAGCTCCGAAGGACAAGAGGTTCGGAGGATTTTTAACCGGGCCAAGACATTAGGTAAATGGGAACAATATAAACAAGCTCTAACGAATTACAGCAAAAATATTCGTACGGCAAAAAGACAGTCTTGGAGGAGGTTTTGTGACGGAGTGAAAGACAAACCCAGCAGTGCAAGAATTCACAAGATTCGCGCTAGAGATGCGGAATTGCCAGTGTTTTCTACGCGTTCAGTCGCGTAGTGAACAGTGATCGTGAAGAGTCAGTGATTGTCTTTAATGGAGAGACATCAAGTTGTCGCCATGTTGTTTCTCCGTAGGAGAATAAAAAAACGAAGAAGGAAGAACAGAATTTATTGGAGACACCCTCTCATCATTTCGCCACTGAAATTTGGAGCATTCTACACAATTTTCCCGAAGTTAAAAGAACACGAAGACAAATTTTTTAATTACTTTAGTATGTCAACAAAATCATTTGACGAATTACACGTAAAGCTAAAGGACCGTCTTCAACGCCAAAATACATTTATGAGAGAATGTATTCAACCAATTCAGATGTTGGCCGTAACTTTGAGGTAAGATAGTACAAACAATACATTTTTTAAGAAACCCTTTTATTTAAATTTTAATACAAAACTGCTATAACACAGGTATTAAGAAGAGCGAAGACGTTAAAAAAACGATAATTGTTTTTCTTTAATACACTATTTAAATATTTTCTTTATCGTCTTCCTCCTGTTCTCACCATTATGTTTCACAAATTTTGAAATGTATATTCTGAAGTGTCATTAGAAGAAAGATAGTCTTCGCAAAATTTAACAGCAGACACTTGTGGTTGATCTGGCTTCTGATATGCTGAAGAATTGTGCTGCGGATTTGTAGTGGATTCTTCATGTAGTGGAATACTACATGGAGAATCCATGGAAGGAGTATTACATGGCGAGGCATATATTGTACTGGATGTAGCAGGAAGAGGGTGCTTTCGCTGCCTGATTTTCCTTACGATTTTTAATACCTCCATTTGAAAATTAAGTGTATCGAATTCATCAAAATCTTGAAGGGAAGGAAGTAATCCTTTAAAGAATGAAAGATGTCGATTAGGTGTTTCCTTCAAGGCTGCAATCATCTCCAATTCAACAGCATCCATTTTCCGTTTTTTTAAAATAGGTTTTTTGAAAAATGTTTCAGGCTTTTCCGCTGAAACAGCATCACTTGATATGCTTGGAACTGATTGCATGTAGTCCTCATTATTTTCAACAGTTGCATCCGTAATGCATCCATCGTCATCAATATTTTGTGACAAAGTGTCTTCAGTTTCTCTTTCTTCGAAGACTTTATCTAGAAAGTGCAACTGAGTTGCATAAATGTAAGATTTTGTTTTTGACGCCCCTGATCCGGATTTCGCTTTATTTTTGCCCACAAATTTTCGGTAGGTATTTCGACTATAAGTAAGTGTGTCAGACAGGTTTGTTGTGCAATATGGACGGAATTACGATTGGAATGCATTCCTACTCCAGATAAGAGGAAATGGGAATCAATTGCTCAAAAATTTGAAACTGTCGCTAATTTCCAGAATTGCTTGGGTGCCGTCAATGGGAAACATATAAGGATCATCCACCCTCTCAACTCTATGCATATAAATTACAAGGGATATTCGTCTATAGTTTTGATGGCAGTAGCTGATGCAGAATACCGATTTGTTTACGCTAACGTTGGAGCATATGGGAAAGACTGTGATTCTAACATTTTCCAAAGCTGTCAACTGTGGAAATCTATCATTAAAGGCACCATGGATCTACCTCAGGACAAGTATCTTCCAGGCACACAGAACCCCAAAATACCTTACTATCTCATAGGAGATGACGCTTTTGGTCTACATAAACATCTCCTCAAACCATACGGTGGACACAGTTTGACAGTAGAGAAAAGAGTCTACAATTATCGTGTGTGCAGAGCTCGCAGGTACGTGGAATGTACGTTCGGAATACTTAGCAACAAATGGAGAATTTTTCATCGTGCAATTAATTTGGATCCTGACTATGCTACTGATATAGTGAAAGCTTGTGTAGTTTTACACAATTTCGTTCGAAATCGAGATGGATTTAAAATGGAAAACACGTTGTCCATCTCAGGTTTTGAAGATGTCCCCTCGAGTGAAATGAGGAAAAATCAGGCAACTATGTTTGCCAAAAATATAAGAGATGTCTTGAAAAATTACTTCATTACTGAACAGGGTTCAGTGAGTTGGCAATTTTCTAAAATATGATTTCATTTAATATAGTGCGAACAAAACGTCACACACATCAAAATATATACTTAATTAACTCTATGAAATGTAACATGTTCGATATTTTGATCGCACTATACTTATCACAAAAACTTAATCAAAATACATAATTCTACGACATAGAGACATTGTTTTACATGTACTCTATAACATGTGCTTATTTATTTTGATGTACGCGATTTTTTAATCGCACTTTACAAAAATGAATTTTTCAATACTTACCCAGTTCCGTTCTTTTTATGGCGTCAAATTTATCAAAGTCAATCACAATTTCACTACACACTTCTTTCCACGCTTCCTGCGTCTTCAACTTGTCCTTATATTTTTCACAGGTTTTGTCCCACAACACAGGTTTAGACTGTACCGCACTAATCAGTCTGTCTATATCAACATCTTCTGCTAAAGACCTATTCATTTTAGCACAAAAATGTAATTTTTGTAAAGAAAATAGAGAATTAAAAATAAAAGAATCTTGCTATTACGTCGAAACCGTGAGAATATGAACGCACTGATTTCTTTCTGTTGCCTGCACTCGAATTCATACCTAATGCAAACATGATGAAACCTGTTCGTGTCGAGGGAGTATTCGGTGTTGTACGGTTTCTATTAGAAACCGAATACGAACCGAAACATCGTTTCACATTTGTCGGTAACGACCGAAAACGAATCGAAAACGAACCGAACCGAATGGAACCGCATATGTGTGAAACAGGCCTTAAGCGGCCTAAAAGTAGTTTTACGGACTCCAACAGAGCCTCGTTAGAGCTTCTCATGCAGACTCACTTCCCAGGAACTTTGATGATGGGGACTAATAATGTCACAGCAGGCTATCTCTCCATGACAAAGCGCCTGTAATGATCAACTTATTTATGATGCCAGATTCCTCGAGAGAGGAGAAAAAGGCTTTTTTGGATTTTATATAACTGCGTTTATTTAATAATACTTATAACTAACATTTTCGTGTTAACGCATCGACGACTTATTCTATTCTATTCTCCTTCTACATGTTAATAAACCTATTTAACCTACTTACTAATATTGCTGACTTATCTAAAATACTAAGGTAAATGTACTCGACTCCAACACGTATTGCCATTTAATTTTTCAATCATAAAATGAATAACAACTCATGTGTCCAGTACACGCCCCTCAAATACGGGTTGGAGTGTGGCTAGAAAAGTCGTCACTTGCACATCCGTCGCAGTTTATCTTCCCAAAAGATCTGAATGATTTTGAGCATTGGACTGCACGGTGAAATTTCATACCGTTATCTATTGGGGTACAATAGATCCTTAAGCTCGTGATGCAAGGTTGGTTGGTCCGTCTACCCGATATGTAATGTATGTAATTTAATGTAAAGTAGCCGCTAAGAGAATCTGTAAACAAAAGAATAAAAAGTAACAATGAACAACTCTTAAATATGGAAAACGAGTCCAAGGATAACAATAATAAAGAGTACTAGGGATGATTATTTAAAAACCTTCTAAACGGAAATTTCTGAAAGTAATGCAAAGGCAACAACAAAAAGAACTCTACAATGAACCCCCTGAATTACACTGCTTAGTATTCATGAAAAGGAACGCCATTAAGGTGCTAAAACTCGGAAAAGGGATCTTTTGGTCAATAGGCTACAGAACCTATTCCAAAGAATATCCTAGTGAGGACGAAGTGATACCATCAATATGGAATTAGTATATAATATTTCCTTATTGTAAGAAGATAAAAAAATTATGTATGAGTTACAGTGGTGTATCTTTTTTCAGTAATGATTATAATTTTTTTATATACATATAAAATAATAATAAAAAAAGAGTAACTATTTACGATCAAGCAAATATTTTAAACCGCCCAAGAGTGTCAGATTGATGGCATGGATAGCATATTTGTAGACTTTTACCAGGCATCACGTGATCCTATTGACAGATAGTATTTATACCAAATCGTGAGTGAGTTTAAGATCTAAGTTTTGAGCCTTAGATCTTATAGGCTGGGCAGTTACGCTTTGGAAGCATTATCACTTCTTCCATCACCGACCAGCTCAACTTCTCCCCTTTGCTCCGAGACCGCGCTTTAAGGCACTTTTTCGAAGTAATCTCTTTGTTTACCGTGTTTCAACAGGACACTTTATCTTAAGCCGCGTCCGGGGAAACAGGTGGGGGTTCTTTGATATACCAAAGATCTTCCTTCCTCTTTTCACAACCATCTCAGGTGCAGATGTATCTTACAGAGACCAGAGCTAATCATTTCAACGGAGATCTCCCCTCGCCTTAAGGAATTGGTTCTGATACTGAATCGTCAACGTGTATAAATTAAAACAAAAATAAGAGGGAAGCTATTTTGTCCCAACTTGGATTCTCCTTCTACAGGTTTTCAATTTTTAACTGTTCAATTCAAACGTCTTTCAATTCGTCTTTCTTTCCAGACGGTCGGTGTTAGGGTGGCGGTGCCGCATCCGTTTCCCTTTTCTTCTCTCTTAGTATACTGATCATAAAACTAATTACTTTTAGCCATACTGTTTCGCTGGCTATCTTACAGTCAGCAATGGTGTTGCCGATTTCAATCTCCAGTCGCTTTCCAACAAAGACACTTGAACAAATGTGCTCAACATTATCATATTCGGCATCCGCATAAAGAAACGTGGAACTTCTCCTTTTATCATCTATAGATATTTCTGGAAGTGACAATAAGTGGAGTAGAAATTCACTTCGCCGTGTTTTTGTACAACATTTACAGCGTTTAGAGTAAGTTGACCTTCCATAATTTTCCATTAGCCGAGTTAGCTCGAGTTAGTATTAAAGTGTCTCTTACAATTAGATTCTCGCCTAATTTGTTTTTTACCATAAGAACGTTATGTACTTTTCACTAACTAGAAACAAAGATCTTAACGATTAAAAACTATATATTTTTTGTGAATTCTTGAATACATCAAAAAAAGAAAAACACTTAATCGGACACAACTTTTAAATTACCAACATTTGCTATTATTTATTCAAAAAACAATAAAGTAAAGTGCATTTTAGTGTTGAATTTTTTATGTGAATAATAAGTAATAAAATTTCACAAAGTCTAACTACCTTTAATTTGCTTCTTAAATTAACGAGAACACCTGTCGCTATGAACAAAATTCTCGTTAGTTTACAACAAGGTTTAATACGCGGAAAATTATCTAGAAACTATAAAAATGGTACTTTTTATAGTTTTTTTGGTATACCTTATGCAAAACCACCGATTGGAAAATTACGATTTAAGGTAATTAAATTTAATTTTATATTTATTACACCAATTATTATTATTAAATAGAATCCTGAAGCACCTGAACGTTGGATTGGAACTTTAAACGCAACTACTGAAAAAGATGGGTGCATTTCAAAAAATATTTTCACACGCAAACTTGAAGGCTCTGAAGATTGTCTTCATTTAAACGTTTATACCCCCAATTTAAATAAATCTCAATCATCTTCATTAAAACCTGTTATAGTTTTCGTTCACGGACACGGTTTGGTTGCTGGAAATGCAAAAACCGAACTTCACGGTCCAGATTTTTTTTTAACTGAAGACATTGTGCTAGTAACGGTTTGTTATCGATACGGAGCATTTGGGTTTTCATACCTTGAAGATCAATCATTGGGAGTAAACGGAAATCAAGGTATTAAAGATGTTGTAATGTCCTTGAAATGGGTGCAACAAAATATTAGGAATTTTTGTGGGGATCCAAATAATGTTACGCTTTTCGGAGCTAGTGGTGGAGCTGGTATTGCACATCATATTATGTTATCATCGTTGTGTAATGGGATGATACATAAATTAATTCTTCACGGTGGATGTAGTTTAAGTTTATGGGCAACTAGTAGAAAAGATTCTTTAACAAAACTCGGGGAAGAGTTAAAATTTGTTGGTGAAAATGAAAAAAAATTATTGGAATTTTTACAAACGAAATCCGCTATTTCGATTTATGAAGGTCAAAAAAAAGTTTTGGCTAATTCGGTATTTATTTGATTTAGGTATTTATTGTTTTTTTACAAACATTTTTGTTTTTAGATTATTTCTCCGAATGTTCAAAAACATTTCTTTCCTATAATTGAAAATCAGTTAAATAATTCAGTTCTTACGGAAGATCCCAAATTGATTATATCGAAAGGAAATTATACAAAAGTACCTATTCTAATGGGACATACATCGGATGAAGGTTTTATATTTGGGAAAGAAGCAGAAAGAAGATTTAAAGAAAATTCAGGTGTTATTACTAATTTAGATGATTTAGTTCCATATAATTTAAAAGACTCAAAAGGGATAATTGAGAAAATTAAAAAATTTTACTTTAACGGAAATTATCCAAAAGAGAAAGATCTATATAAATATTTACAAGTATGTACTTAATTCCTACTTCCATGATTCTTCTAAAAAAGATGTAAAACATGTTATATTTTAGGTTAAAAGTGATATATATTGTGCGCATCCACTACAAACCGCAATTAAAGCCCATTTAATCACTCAATCATTACCAATTTACTTTTTTAAATTTGCTTTTCATGGAAAATTAAATCTCTATAAAAAAATACAAGGGGTAACAAAACCGGTTGCTTCTCACAGCGATGAACTCTGTTATTTATTTAGAATGTTTGGAAATCCAGAAGTCGAAGAAAACAGTGATGAAGATTTAACAATAAAACGTATGGTTAAACTTTGGACGAATTTTGCAAAATTCGGAAATCCTAATGGCAAAAATATTAATGATGATTTAATTAATGTTCAGTGGGATCCTGTGGAATTAAATAAATTTAATTATTTATGTATTGATAAAGAGTTAACAGCCGGAGTAAATCCCGATGAAGATGGAGTGAAATTCTGGGAAGATTTTTATAAAGATAATAATTAATTTTATTTTGTAAAATTAAATGTTTAAATTTACTTACAACTTTATCAACAATTTATTTGTTTTAATCATAATTTTATAAAATACCATTTATATTGTAATTAACTGGAGTTGCCTACATTCAACTTTCTCGCATTTTTATATGAAACTAATAACGTGTGCCATAATCCATCAATAGGCGATGAAATGTTAAACAATAACACTACATCTACTCGGAGTAGATTCTTCGCGTAATCAGAACTGAGAGAAGTTTTATAAAAAAAATTTCAAACGTTAATGGACACTTACTATGTAATGCATGAAAATAGATCGAAAGATAATGGAGAGTAGAAGGTTTCCGTCTTCCATTAGTAACTACCGTATTTTCTCGAATCTTATCCGCACTCGAATCTAATCCGCACCCCGATTTTAAAAATGCATAGTGGTAAAAAAATTTAGTTTGCGAATGTAATCCTCATCTTTTTTTGAGCAATTCGACAACACTAAAACGATGCGATGCTTGTTGTTAACCATAAATATATATTTTTTCTGTTGACTGACGCTGATGCACCTAAAGAAACCTTGCTTACGACGAGTTTTTATTAGACTAGAGTTTAAATTTACCAAGCCAGAAAAAATTGGAAAATAAATATAATTTTAAAAATAAATAGTAATGCCTAGCACGAATGAGAGTAACGTTGCGGCTGTTGCGGAAAGACCAGGTAGCTATTGCAGACTGAGGCATCGTGCAAAAAATTTACCGGGCCAAAGAAGAGACGATTTCATGAAATTGACAAGGCAGTTTTCTAGTTCTCTCAAGAAAAACGAAAGGAGGGACTAAAAAATTTTTAATACTAGCAAAGGTTGGACTGTGGGATTTATGCGCCGAATGATGTTATCGTTGAGGCGCAGAACTACAACTTCCCAAAAGCTCCTAATGATTTACATATCTGGATATGCCACCCAATTACACACTGGAAAGAAGAGGTGTGTGGGAAATTTCTTTATAAACGAGTGGTTGCGAAAAATTGCGCATACCATTGATGCTAGCAGTAACAAGTGATAGGGAAAAANAAATAAGTTTATTTAAACATCAATTCTAATAAGATCATATCTCAAAAAGTAAATGAGATATCAAATTGAAATAAAAACCATTTTATCATAAATTTAATGTAGTTTCAGCGCCCCGAAAATAATTTCTTCGTTAATATAATTATGGGTGATACGATTTTTCTAATTCAACCATGCGGTTTTTGAAGTTACATTTTTATAAATTTTGCTTATAGCACTGTACATCAAGAACGAATTAACATATTAAGTTGAAATAAGAAGCATTTTGAAGCAAATTTAATTAATAATTAATGTGTTGAAAATCATTTCTTTGTTTCTATAAATGTTGATGTGATGAATTTTTTAGTTCATCTCCTCATCAACTGAAATAAGTTTATTTAAACATCAATTTTAATAAGATCATATCTCAAAAAGTAAATGAGATATCAAGTTGAAATAAAAACCATTTTATCGTAAATTTAATGTAGTTTTATCGCACCAAAAATAATTTCTTCCTTCCTATAATTATCGGTGATACGATTTTTTTAATTCAACCATGTGGTTTTTGAGTTAAATTTTTAAAAATTTTATTTATAGCATCGTATTTCAAGAACTAATTAAAGTATTAAGTTGAAATAAGAAGCATTTTGAAGCAAATTTAATTAATATTTAATGTGTTGAAAATCATTTTTTTTGTTTTCACAAATATTGACGTGATGATGTTTTAAGTTCATCCTCGTATCAACTTTTTTTCTAAAACAATTAATGTCTTAATTAATAAAAATTAATGTTGTTAATTTATTTAACAGAAAGAAATAAATCGTTATTACAGCTATCGACCTAATGGTGTTTCCGCTGGCTATAATTACAACAAAGAATTTAACAATATTATTATTAATTATCAGATAAGTATTTATGAAAAAAGTTCGAATATTGTCTTCGTCTGATCAACTTCCACCTGTGCAACTTGTCTCTTTAAACATAATTTATGTATTTTTTCATAATTGTTTCTGTTGTCTAAAAATTTCTTGCGTAGTCTGTCTAGTCTTAGTCTTATAGGTTCAATACCAGTCATTTCGTATAAGGTCTCGTTTCTTACGTTGTGCAATGGGTTGTTTGGGTGTCTAATCTTAGAGATAATCCTCAAACATTTTCTTTCCGCTTTGTCAATTATGTCTTCCGTTTTTCCGGATGGATTCATTAATACAATATTACCATATTCAATCAATGGTCTACATATGTTCTTATATATTTGCATCGCTGTCTTCGTGTTTATACCCTTGTCTTTATAACTTAGAAATCTAAAATGTTTCGCCCATTTCCTGTAGTGTGTACTCAAGTTTAATTTGAAATCGATGTTCATTCCTAGGTACTTAATGTTCTGTAATAGTTCTGTAATGTTAACTGTATCCATCTTAATAATTCGTAATAAGACGTTTCCACTATTCTGTGATGTGGCATAAATAATTGAAATTTAGTTGGGTTTGGATTAAGTCTCCATTTATAAAACCATTTAATCATAATATTACAGATATTTTGGAGCTTCATGATCGTTTTCTCTAGGTTTTAAAATCTCTCTCTTAAATCGCATTAACATTTAAAAATGTTTGGATGAACTCCATTTCAAATTAAAACAATAAGTTATATATCGTCTTAAAGAGAAAAGTTTAAGCTTTAATATGATATAAGTCATTTTATAATTTTCGAAAATAAGTTCTCCACGATTTTTTGAATTTTAGCCTTAATTTTGTGATTTTCCTAAAACCTCTAAATCGCATTAATCTTTAAAAATGTTTGGATGAACTCCATTTCAAATTGAAGCAATAAATTATATATCATCTTAAAGAGGAAAGTTTAGGTTTTAATATTATATGAAAGTCATTTTATAATTTTCAAAAATAAGCCTTCCACGATTTTTTGAATTTTAGCATCAATTTTGTGAATCTCTTAAAACCTCTAAATCGCATTAAATTTTAAAATGTTTGGATGAACTCCATTTCAAATTGAAACAATAAGTTATATATCATCTTAAAAATGAAAGTTTAGGCTTTAATATGGTATGAAAGTCATTTTATTATTTTCAAAAATAAGCCCGCCACGATTTTTTGAATTTATCATCAATTTTGTGATTTTTCTAAAACCTCTAAATCGTATTAACATTTAAAAATTTTTTGATGAACTCCATTTTAAATTGAAGCAATAAGTTATATATTACCTTAAAGAAGAAAGTTTAAGCTTTAATTTGATACAAAAGTCATTTTATAATTTTCAAAAATAAGCTCTCCACGATTTTTTGAATCTTAGCATTAAATTTGTGATTTTCCTAAAACCTCTTAATCGCATTAATCTTTAAAAATGTTTGGATGAACTCCATTTCAAATTGAAGCAATAAATTATATATCATCTTAAAGAGGAATGTTTAGGTTTTAATATTATATGAAAGTCATTTTATAATTTTCAAAAATAAGCCTTCCACGATTTTTTGAATTTTAGCATTAATTTTGTGATTTTCCTAAAACCTCAAATCGCATTAATCTTTAAAAAAATTTGGATGAACTTTATTTCAAATTGAAGCAATAAGTTATATATCATCTTAAAGAGGAAAGTTTAGGCTTTAATATTATATGAAAATCATTTTATGATTTTCAAAAATAAGACTTCCACGAATTTATGAATTTTAGATTTAATTTTGTGATTTTCCTAAAACCTCTAAATCGCATTAATCTTTAAAAAAATTTGGATGAACTCCATTTTAAATTGAATCAATAAGTTATATATCATCTTAAAGAAGAAAGTTTAACCTTTAATATGATATAAAAGTAATTTTATAATTTTCAAAAATAAGACCTTCACGATTTTTTGAATTTTTACATTAATTTTGCGATTCTCCTAAAACCTCTAAATAGCATTAATCTTTAAAAAAGTTTGGATGAACTCCATTTCAAATTGAAGTAATAAATTATATATCATCTTAAAGAGGAAAGTTTAGGCTTTAATATAATATAAGTCATTTTATAATTTTCAAAAATAAGTCCTCCACGACTATTTGAATTTTAGCATTAATTTTGTAATTTTCCTAAAACCTCTAAAACGCATTAATCTTTAAAAAAATTTGGATGAACTTCATTTCAAATTGAAGCAATAAGTTATATATCACCTTAAAGAGGAAAGTTTAAGCTTTAATTTGATATAAAGGTCATTTTATAATTTTCAAAAATAAGCCTTCCACGATTTTTTGAATTTTAACATTAATTTTGCGATTCTCCTAAAACCTCTAAATCGCATTAATCTTTAAAAAAGTTTGGATGAACTCCATTTCAAATTGAAGTAATAAATTATATATCATCTTAAAGAGGAAAGTTTAGGCTTTAATATAATATAAGTCATTTTATAATTTTCAAAAATAAGTCCTCCACGACTATTTGAATTTTAGCATTAATTTTGTAATTTTCCTAAAACCTCTAAAACGCATTAATCTTTAAAAAAATTTGGATGAACTTCATTTCAAATTGAAGCAATAAGTTATATATCACCTTAAAGAGGAAAGTTTAAGCTTTAATTTGATATAAAGGTCATTTTATAATTTTCAAAAATAAGCCTTCCACGATTTTTTGAATTTTTACATTAATTTTGCGATTCTCCTAAAACCTCTAAATCGCATTAATCTTTAAAAAAGTTTGGATGAACTCCATTTCAAATTGAAGTAATAAATTATATATCATCTTAAAGAGGAAAGTTTAGGCTTTAATATAATATAAAAGTCATTTTATAATTTTCAAAAATAAGTCCTCCACGACTATTTGAATTTTAGCANATCTTTAAAAAAGTTTGGATGAACTCCATTTCAAATTGAAGTAATAAATTATATATCATCTTAAAGAGGAAAGTTTAGGCTTTAATATAATATAAAAGTCATTTTATAATTTTCAAAAATAAGTCCTCCACGACTATTTGAATTTTAGCATTAATTTTGTAATTTTCCTGAAACCTCTAAAACGCATTAATCTTTAAAAAAATTTGGATTAACTCCATTTCAAATTGAAGCAATAAGATATACCGTATTTTCTCGAATCTTATCCGCACTCGAATCTAATCCGCACCCCGATTTTAAAAATGCATAGTGGTAAGAAAATTTAGTTTGCGAATGTAATCCGCATCTTTCTTTGAGCAATTCGACAACACTAAAACGATGCGATGCTTGTTGTTAACCATAAATATGTATTGTTTCTGTTGACTGACGCTGATGCACCTAAAGAAACCTTGTTTACGACGAGTTTTTATTAGACTAGACTTTAAATTTACCAAGCCAGAAAAAATTGGAAAATAAATATAATTTTAAAAATAAATAGTAATGCCTAGCACGAATTCCGTTCATATACTGCCCTCGTAGTAGCTCGAACGTGGTGTGTGCTTAATTATACACATAATAGCGTAATTATAAAAAAAGTAGCAAAAATCTAAAAGGTTCTTCTATACAGCAAAGTTTAAAGAGATGTTATTAAGTTAGCGTTAAAAGAAAGAAATCGAAAAGCTGGTACAATTTTTGCTGATAATGAGAGTAACGTTGCGGCTGTTGCGGAAAGACCAGGTAGCTATTGGAGACTGTGAGGCATCGTGCAAAAAATTTACCGGGCCAAAGAAGAGACGATTTCATGAAATTGACAAGGCAGTTTTCTAGTTCTCTCAAGAAAAACGAAAGGAGGGACTAAAAAATTTTTTATACTAGCAAAGGTCGGACTGTTGGGATTTATGCGCCGAATGATGTTATCGTTGAGGCGCAGAACTACAACTTCCCAAAAGCTCCTAATGATTTTCAAGAAAATTTCAATTTGTCTCAAATTGTAAATGTCAACGAAATGGTAGTATATCTGGATAAGCCACCCAATTACACACTGGAAAGAAGAGATGTGTGGGAAATTTCTTTATAAACGAGTGGTTGCGAAAAATTGCGCATAACATTGATGCTAGCAGTAACAAGTGATAGGGAAAAATTGTTGTCATTAGTAATATTGAGAAAAAAACCATTCTGAAATCTGAAAGACTTCCCGAATGACGTCCTAGTTAGGGCACAACAAAAAGGATGGATAATGGAAAAGCTGATGATGGAATGATTAAGACAAGTATGGAGTCTTAGACCAGGAGGATTATTAAATAAGGATACTAATTAATCATAGACTGATTGCCCTTGGTTTAGACTTCTTGTCATAATAATAATACCTGGTGGAATAACATCCATACTACAACCTGTGTATGTATATGTATATTAACAAACTCGAGAATTAACAAAACCTGGAGCAATTAAAGGAGCTTCTGAACTTGTTCAGTGAGTGTAGGCGACATGGAAAACGATCCCTGAAAACAATATTACAACATCTTTTAAGACCTTTTGTATAATTCGAATTGATCCGAAGATGACGTAACATGGGAAGAAAATGATACATAAAAATGTAAATATCGTTCTAAAACCCTTAACTCTTTGCGGTACGTAAATATCCCGACAAAAATAACCCTAGAGGTACAAGAAAAAAAAATCTAAACCGATGTACGTGACAGTTACAACCATTTTTCAAAGTGGGTTAAATTTTGTCCCAGCATACTATAAAGGTCTATTTTTAAGTGGGTTAAATTGTAACCCGGAGTACCTCAAAGAGTTAANGAAAATGATACATAAAAATGTAAATATCGTTCTAAAACCCTTAATAAAGTGTTATTGTTATAATGTGATTTTATTTTACTATTTTCCAAATTGCAACTATACGACTGCGAATCTAATCCGCACCCGATTGTAATCCGCATTTGATTTTAGAGCACATAAAATTTGTAAAAAAGGTGCGGATTACATTCGAGAAAATACGGTATATCATCTTAAAGAGGAAAGTGTAAGCTCTAATATGATATAAAAGTCATTTTATGAGTTTCAAAAATAAGCTCTCCACGATTTTTTGAATTAATTATTATTAATTTTGTGATTTTCCTAAAACCTCTAAATCGCATTAATCTTTAAAAATGTTTGGATGAACTCCATTTCAAATTGAAGCAATAAATTATATATCATCTAAAGAGGAAAGTTTAGGCTTTAATATTATATGAAAGTCATTTTATAATTTTCAAAAATAAGACCTTCACGATATTTTAATTTGTTACATTCATTTTGTGATTCTCCTAAAACCTCTAAATCGCATTAAATTTAAATATGTTTGGATGAACTCCATTTCAAATTGAAGTAATAAGTTATATATCATCTTAAAGAGGAAAGTTTAAGTTTTAATTTGATGTAAAGGTCATTTTATAATTTTCAAAAATAAGACCTTCACGATTTTTTGAATTTTAACATTAATTTTATGATTCTCCCAAAACTTCTAAATCGCATTAATCTTTAAAAAAAATTTTGATGAACTCCATTGCAAATTGAAGCAATAAGTTATATATCATCCTAAAGAGGAAAGTTTAAGCTTTAATTTGATATAAAAGTCATTTTATAATTTTGAAAAATATATCTTTACGATTTTTTGAATTTATCATTAATTTTGTGAATCTCCTAAAACTTCCAAATCGTATTAATCTTTAAAAAAATTTGGATGAACTCCATTTGAAATTGAAGCAATAAGTTGTATATCATCTTAAAGATGAAAGTTTAACCTTTAATTTGATATAAGAGACATTTTGTAATTTTCAAAAATAAGCCCTTCACGATTTTTTGAATTTTAGCATTAATTTTGTGATTTTCCTAAAACCTCTAAATCGCATTAATCTTTAAAAAATTTGGATGAACTCCATTTCAAATTGAAGTAATAAGTTATATATCATCTTAAAGAGGAAAGTTTAGGCTTTAATATAATATAAAAATCATTTTATAATTTTCAAAAATATGCCTTCCACGATTTTTTGAATTTATCATTAATTTTGTGAATCTCCTAATACTTCTAAATCGTATTAATCTTTAAATTTTTTTGGATGAACTCCATTTCAACTTGAAGGAATGAGTTATATATCATCTTAAAGAGGAAAGTTTAAGCTTTTATTTGATATAAAAGTCATTTTATAGTTTTCAAAAATAAGCTCTCTGCGATTTTTTTAATTTTAGCATTAATTTTATGATTCTAGTAAAACCTCTAAATCGCATTAATCTTTAAATTTTTTTGGATTAACTCCATTTCAAATTGAAGCAACAAGTTATATATCATCTTAAAGAGGAAAGTTTAAGCTTTAATTTGATGTAATTTTTTAAAATAACACCTCCACGATCTTTTTATTTTTATCACTTTTTTTTGTGATTCTTTTAAAATCTCAAAAATATATTATTCCTTTAAATTTTTTTTGATGCACGCCATTTCAAATTGAGACAACGTGTTATATATCATCTTAAAGAGGGAAATTAAGCTACAATTTGGTGCAAGAATTATTTCTTAACTTTCCTATATAATTACAATGTAGACGATTTTTTAAAGTTCAACGTTTTTTTTGCATGAAAGGATAACAAATTTTCTCAATTTTTATCTGTTGCTCTCGTCGAAATCAATCTTATTCCCTTCGGAATTCCCCCCAAAACTGTTGTACCCCATCCTCTACACATTTTTAAAAGGGGTTCGGACGCCAGCGGAACTTTTGGGGCGGAGGGCTGGGGGTGGTTTGGCAAAGCATCACGCATGCAGCATCCTGACCCTATTTAAGCGTCGCAACGTCCCGAACCGACCCAGTTCAACATCGCAACCCCAAAACTAAACGTCTCAAATTCCTAAATAAGAATCGTTTCTAAATATAAGAAAGAGTCAAAGAGAGAGATTTAATTTTGTTGAGATGGGTCGAAAAATGTTTGTTGGAGTATTTTTGGTGATGGTTGTTTTGTTTAATTTCTGTGGGGATGTCGAAGCGAGGTATTTGCCAACGAGGGGGAATGGGGATAAACTTGATAAACTCAGAGAGTTATTAAAAGAAGTAAGTTTTAAGATAATCAAAGACAATGTTTGTTAACAAATAACTTTTAGTTGTTAGAAACGGAGATCGAAAACAACGAAAATTACGACTCCCAACCGAGATGGCACCCCGAAAGCAGGTTATTTTACAAACGAGAAGCGAGCGCTCATTAATAAATCAAAAAAGAATCAAATTAAAGGGCAACTTCCACGGATTTCGAGCCGGATTTAATCACAAATTACAATAAAAAGTCTTTATACACGTGCAAATTATGAAAAATCCACAAAAAAATAAATAAATAAATCAAAAATCTTCATTCCTACGAATAAACAAAGTTAAAAAAAATTTTAATATATGTATTTTCTCATTTAAAGAGTTTAAAGATTTAAAATAAATGTAAATTATTTGTAGCGTTGTGAATTGCATTTAATTCTTCTTTCTTTCATTCATCTCTCCTTCAACAAACCTAAAATAAGAATGAGGATGTTAATTTAGCGATGACATATCACGTATTCTAATTTGTTTTCTCGTTTAAATCGCGTTGTTGCTGCTATCTCTGCGAGACCGCCAAGAAGAAATGAGTGAAAGTGAGACTTCGTTTTTATCGAACAATACGGAGCGGTATCGGATGCGTGTTATACGTAATTGTGGGGCACTCGTAAATGAGGGCAACGAACCTCTTCCTCGGTTCATCTCAGAGTTCGAAAAGATTAAGAAAAAATCGTTTCCTGCTTCTTGCTTGCTTATGTTGGTGGATCGGTTCGATGTTCGGAGCTTCGAAGAAGATTAATTAGTTTTTAGGTTAGAATTGGTTTTTAGAAATTCTTTCGAAACTCGGCGTTAATTAACTGATATAATCTAAATATCTCTTTAACAAATCGTTTCGATGTCTAACAGGTTTCGCTTTATATTCGAATAAAAAGAATATTATTGAGGTTACGTTAATAAACGTTGTTGGAATCAAAAAATGTTTCAAATAAAACTTATTTCTATTTGAATTTGCAACAATTTTTGTTAATAACATTTTTTCATATCTTTGCTAGATAAGCATATATAGAGAAATAAAATATTTAATGTTTCCCTGTGAATAGTACGGTAGTGACAATCCACGACATAATATTGTTTTTATCAAAAAATATTTCCTACAAAAGTTGTTTAGAATAAGATTTAAAAACGATCTTCTTGATAAATTATTTCGATATCTTCTCCAGGTGGCGCTGTATACTAGTATAAAAGAACATTTTTGAGGTTATTTCAATAATTATTGTTCATATCAAAAAATATTTCAAATAAAATTTATTTGCAGTTGAATTTGCAATAATTTCTGTTAATTACATTTTTTCGTATCTTCACCAGATAGACATATATAGAGGTATAAAGCTCATTAGGACCATCCTGTGTGTATTACTATTCAAATATCCATAAGTATTGCTTTTATCAAAAAATGTTTCGTACAATATTTATTTATAATAAAATTTAAAATCGATTTTCTTAACAAATCGTGGGGATATCTCCTCCAGGTGGCGCTGTATACTAGTGTAAAAGAACATTTTTGAGATTATATCAATAATTATCGTTGATATCAAAAAATATTTCAAACAAAACTTATTTGCAGTTAAATTTGCAATAATTTTGGTTAATAACATTCTTTCGTATCTTCCCTAGATAGGCATATATAGAGGTATAAAGCTCATTACGACCATCCTGTGAATATCACTAATCTATATACATAAATATTACTCTTATCAAAAAATGGTTCGTACAATATTTATTTATAATAATATTTAAAATCGATTTTTATAATAAATCGTTTCGATATCTCCTCCAGGTGGCGCTGTATACTAGTATAAAAGAAAATTTTTGAGGTTATATCAATAATTATCTTTAATATCAAAAAACATTTCAAACAAAACTTATTTGCAGTTGAATTTGCAATAATTTTGGTTAACAACATTCTTTCGTATCATCCCTAGATAGACATATATAGAGGTATAAAGCTCATTACGACCATCCTGTGAATATTACTATTCATATATCCATAAGTATTGCTTTTATCAAAAAATGTTTCGTACAATATTTGTTTAGAATAAGATTTAAAATCGATTTTCTTAATAAATTATTTCGATATCTCCTCCAGATGGCGCTGTATACTAGTATAAAAGAACATTTTTGAGACTATATCAATAATTATCGTTGATATCGAAAAATATTTCAAACAAAACTTATTTGCAGTTGAATTTGCAACAATTTTGGTTAATAACATTCTTTCGTATCTTCCTTAGATTGACATATATAGAGGTGAAAACCTCATTACAACCACCCTGTGAATATTGCTATTCATATATCCATAAGTACTGCTTTTATCAACAAATTTTTTCGTACAATATTTAATTATAATATTTAAAATCGATTTCCATAATAAATCGTTTCGATATCTCCTCCAGGTGGCGCTGTATACTAGAATAAAAGAACATTTTTGAGGTTATATCAATAATTATCGTTGATATCAAAAAATATTTCAAACAAATCTTATTTGCAGTTGAATTTGTAACAATTTTGGCAAATAACATTTTTTCGTATCTTCCCTAGATACACATATATAGAGGTATAGAGCTCATTACGACCACCTGTGAATATTACTATTCATATATCCATAACTATTCCTTTTATTAAAAAATGTTTCGCACAATATTTATTTATAATAAGATTTAAAAACGGTCTTCTTGATAAATTATTTCGATATCTCCTCCAGATGGCGCTGTATACTAGTATAAAAGAACATATTTGAAATTATATCAATAATTATCGTTGATATCAAAAAATATTTCAAACAAAACTTATTTGCAGTTGAATTTGCAACAATTTTGGTTAACAACATTCTTTCGTATCTTCCCTAAATAGACATATATAGAGGTATAAAGCTCATTACGACCACCCTGTGAATATTACTATTCATATATCCATAAGTATTGCTTTTATCAAAAAATGTTTCGTACAATATTTGTTTAGAATAAGATTTAAAATCGATTTTCTTAATAAATTATTTCGATATCTCCTCCAGATGGCGCTGTATAATAGTATAAAAGAACATTTTTGAGGTTATATCAATAATTATTGTCGATATCAAAAAATATTTCAAACAAAACTTATTTGCAGTTGAATTTGCAACAATTTTGGTTAACAACATTCTTTCGTATCTTCCCTAGATAGACATATATAGAGGTATAAAGCTCATTACGACCATCCTGTGAATATTACTATTCATATATCCATAAGTATTGCTTTTATCAAAAAATGTTTCGTACAACATTTGTTTAGAATAAGATTTAAAATCGATTTTCTTAATAAATCATTTCGATATCTCCACCAGATGGCGCTGTATACTAGTATAAAAGAACATTTTTGAGATTATATCAATAATTATCATTGATATCAAAAAATATTTCAAATAAAACTTATTTGCAGTTGAATTTGCAATAATTTTGGTTAATAACATTCTTTTGTATCTTCTCTAAATAAACATATATAGAGGTATAAAGCTCATTACGACCACCTGTGAATATTACTATTCATATATCCATAAGTATTGCTTTTATCAAAAAATTTTTCGTACAATATTTGTTTAGAATGAGATTTAAAATCGATTTTCTTAATAAATTATTTCGATAACTCCTCCAGATGGCGCTGTATACTAGTATAAAAAAACATTTTTGAGACTATATAAATAATTATCGTTGATATCAAAAAATATTTCAAACAAAACTTATTTGCAATTGAATTTGCAACAATTTTGGTTAATAACATTTTTTCGTATCTTCGCTTGATATACATATATAGAGGTATAAACCTCATTACGACCATCCTGTAAATATCACTAATCTATACACATAAATATTACTCTTATCAAAAAATGTTTCGTATAATATTTATTTTTAACAATATTTAAAATCGATTTTCTTAATAAATTATTTCGATATCTCCTCCAGATGGCGCTGTATACTAGTATAAAAGAACATTTTTGAGACTATATCAATAATTATTGTTGATATCAAAAAATATTTCAACCAAACTTATTTGCAGTTGAATTTGCAACAATTTTGGTTAATAACATTCTTTCGTATCTTCCCTAGATAGACATATATAGAGGTATAACGCTCATTACGACCATTCTGTGAATATTACTATTCATCGCTATTCATATATTCATAAGTATTGCTTTTATCAAAAAATGTTTCGTACAATATTTATTTATAATAAAATTTAAAATCGATTTTCTTAACAAATCGTGGGGATATCTCCTCCAGGTGGCGCTGTATTCTAGTGTAAAAGAACATTTTTGAGGTTATAACAATAATTATTGTTGATATCAAAAAATATTTCAAATAAACCTTATTTGCAGTTAAATTTGCAACAATTTTGGTTAATAACATTCTTTCGTATCTTCGCTAGATAGACATATATAGAGTTATAAAGCTCATTACGACCAGCCTGTATATTACTATTCATATATCCATAAGTATTGCTTTTATCAAAAAATGTTTCGTACAATATTTATTTATAATAATATTTAAAATCGATTTTCATAATAAATCGTTTCGATATCTCCTCCAGGTGGCGCTGTATACTAGTATAAAAGAACATTTTTGAGGTTATATCAATAATTATCGTTGATATCAAAGAATATTTCAAACAAAACTTATTTGCAGTTGAATTTGCAACAATTTTGGTTAACAACATTCTTTCGTATCTTCGCCAGATAGACATATATAGAGGTATAAAGCTCATTACGACCATCCTGTGAATATTACTGTTCATATATCCATAAGTATTGCGTTTATCAAAAAATTTTTCGTACAATATTTGTTTAGAATAAGATTTAAAATCGATTTTCTTAATAAATTATTTCGATATCTCCTCCAGGTGGCGCTGTATACTAGTATAAAAGAACATTTTTGAGATTATATCAATAATTATCGTTGATATCGAAAAATATTTCAAACAAAACTTATTTGCAGTTGAATTTGCAACAATTTTGGTTAATAACATTCTTTCGTATCTTCCTTAGATTGACATATATAGAGGTGAAAACCTCATTACAACCACCCTGTGAATATTGCTATTCATATATCCATAAGTACTGCTTTTATCAACAAATTTTTTCGTACAATATTTAATTATAATATTTAAAATCGATTTCCATAATAAATCGTTTCGATATCTCCTCCAGGTGGCGCTGTATACTAGAATAAAAGAACATTTTTGAGGTTATATCAATAATTATCGTTGAT